AAACACTTGCCATCGCCATGCAACCTACGAGCGCAGCGGCGACCGCCGATAGCGGTCGTCCGCGAAGCGCCGTTGTACTCGAGTATTTATGCGTGTGCGGCTATAGTGTTGTACAGCAGTACGGACTTCGAAGTACATTAGAAACATAAATACAAACACAGAAAGACTATTACCTGTTCGAGATAAGACCACGGTCGAACGGGATGTGTTGAAGTGTTTTCAAGTGAACGGAGGGAAACCGGCTGTACATTGTAGCACCACAAAAAAGGGTTTAAAACATAACCGTCATTGGTTACTGCATACCAATCAATCTGCGTATCTGCATAGTCTAGGTCATGTTTACTCAAGTCACAGAGTGTGTACTATTTAACGTGTGGGAAACACCACACCATCGTATCTAGAAATTTTAAACAGAAGCTGTGTCACACGCGAGGTTGCCGGAGCATACTGCTTTGGTACAGTAGTGCCGTCTTATTCTAGACGAACTGGGTCCTCAACAGGGCAAGAACATCATGTTGTAGTATAGTCGACATAGCCCAGCATACATACAAGTAGCGCAACAGGTACGGAGTGGCATATGCGACGACACACCGCCTCTACGAACGCATTATGGACAATAACGACACCACACTCCAGCCACGCATTTCGCTTACCTTCCGGGCTCCAGGGTGTGTGCGTTACTCACAGCTTAGTGATCCCTTGCTCAGCACTGCTGCTCTGCTGTCTGCTGCTTCAACGCCCGCACACGGCCCCCCGCGGAGACTTTCACGATAGTCTTTGGGCCACCTCATGATTCTGCTGGGCCACCTCAATGTGGACCGATTGATCTCCGATCTGTCAGTACCTCACCACCACACGCGCGTGACTGATGACCAGCACAACATGGACACAACATCGAACCCTGATGTGGGTATCAAAGGTGAAAACTGTCTTACGTGTGATTGGAGATACTTGGTCCTTTGCGGAAGGCGCTGAAGGCCGTTCAGCGATCCCTGCTGGTGTATGTAGAGTCGACACTTCTACACTACAAAGCTGTTGCTTTGCTGGCACAAGCCTGCGGTTGCAAGTCAGGCACGCAGCGGGCGTTGACCGCGTGTATTGATGCGTCTCATATCGATTGGTTTAACGCGGGCTCAACCATACGTTCAAGAACAGCAGGGGGTTGCCCTTGATGCGAAGACGAACGGCAGTGAGTATATAGTTCGTGTGGTGGTGCTGCCATTGTATGCTAAATAAGTGTCAGGTTCGCATTGTATTTTTTAAATTTTGAAGCGGCACGATTTGCCCGACCATCCCATTTGGACATTTCTTCCCTCTTCGCGAAACTGGCCTATGCAACGATTATGGTAATTATTTCAGAATTCATTGCCACTGGTGTGATGTCGTCGGACAGTAGTGAGTTTGCGTGGTGGTGCTGCCATTCATTTCATACTGAAGAGTTCATTCTTGCATGACCTTTTTTAATTGAAGCGGGCACGATTTGCCCGTTCACCCGCTTGCAATTTCTGCCCTCCTCGCTGAACTGGCCTCGATTGTCAATGACATTTTTTTTTCGTTTTTTTCAGAGGGGTTTACGAAGGCTTTCAACACTATCCCCTTCGACTGTGACGTCTGTCAGTGACTGAATGCATATATTTCTAAAAATAGAAATTCTTGCGTGCGGCAGTGCGGCAGTATACTACTACGTGTACGCTACACCTCTGGCTGTCGATGATACTTCAATTTTGTGTTGTATGCACAAGTGGATAGTCTAGGGAATGAGGCGAATAATGGTTTTGCTTGCGCACCGGCAAACGCATGAGTGCAACGGCAAGAGGAATGAACCCCCAGCCCTCCTTCTTGCGACAACACACACCCTTTCCAGAAGGCGGGGGCGGGGATGCACAGCACCTGATTGGTCGGGAGGAGGCGGGCTCAGACGGGGGGGGGCGTGCCCTCTCGCACCCATCAACGACCGACTCCCCTCATGCGCAACTGAAGGGGCCCGTTGCTGAGTTGTTGCCAGCGGCGGGTGGAGCGCAGCAAGCATCATCGCAAGTGGAGACACCACAGCGAGAACCCCCTAATCATGCGGGCGCTGTGGGACCGGCAGCAGCAGGGGCTGCAGCTGGTACGAGCACATCCAGTCCTGGGTCAATGCCGAACGGCGGAACTGACGTCCTACGGGCGGCACAGGCAGAGCATGTGAGATATGTAGTGCACTGAACGAGCTGATGTACTCGGTACCGTTGCTATCTTAAACCAGCCAGCTTGAGCGAGTGTCGCAAGCCGTTTCGTATCGCGTACGGTAAGAATATCTGGAATAATTTACAGTATACTGAAAAATTTCATGCTTTACATATTCTCCTAGTCGATGATTTTCCCCCCCTCCCCCAACGTGGCCAATAAGGGAGAAAGCCGTGTAGAAGTCACCGCGCGGTTTCCAGCCAAGAAAATTAGAGCACGATTCCTCCTTGGCATGTCTTGATTATCCTCGGGTAATGTTTTCTCGCTGCAACAACCGGGCCGAAATCATTTTACGCTCAGGGTGTTCAACATTGCGACGAAGGGGTGAAAGAAAACAAGTCGAAATGTACAGGTTTGGGGCTCTCGGCAAGAGCGGTACCACTCGCGTCTCCAAATTCCTCGCAATAGTTCAATAGTTGGAGAATTTGGCGTTGGCCTCAAAACCTGGCTGCACAGACCGTTACTGACGAGAGAGACGAGAGGGCTGACAGACCGCAGAAACGGGTGCAAACTCGGTGCGCTGGCATGAGTCAAATTGGTGCTGGATGCCAGCAAATGACGTGAGCGGACACATTCATTGTGCGTGATGATCTGATGACGCCGAAAAGGTAAGTTCAAAGCACACGATGGTATATGAGTATCGGTGTCTCTCACCTTGATGAATCTCATAAATCTGCAACGGTAAAGGTATTTTTCATGCTAAAGGTATTTTGCAATGAAAAATACCCAGAAAATAGGGTAAGTAACGGCCGGGTATTACCCTTTTTTTGCAAACTCCGAGGTGCGGGTTCCGGCACGGTGTACGTGTGTGAACATGCCCGAAATTTCGAAATTTCTGGATGAAGTTCTGTACATCACATACCCAAGTCTTTCTGTGAGTTCTGTGACACTCCCTTCCCAATCGTTAGTTGTAGTTCAATACTTCAACAAGCCATGAAGTTCATCGTTGCTTCCGCGCTGTGATCGTAAACTGCACTCATTTCCGGTGCGCAATGGTAACCACCGAATGTGTTGCCTCGTGCCAGGAGATGCGCACCACCCCTGCGTACATGTTGTTGGGGATGCCAGAGGACCACATGAAGACCAAGCAACTCGAACAACTACGGCTCACTGAATTCGATAAATACCGCCGGTTCGCTCAAAGATGGTTGCAGCGTAGGAACGACAAGAGACAGCAACAGCAGCAGACCCAGCCGCAACAGCCGCAGCCGCAGCCGCAGCACAATTGGGGCCGGCTGCATCAGCAGCAGCTACTCCACGGAGCGAACCTTGGACTTGAACCAAATCAACCGCTTCACCCACAGCAGTTACCCTTCGGAGTTCACGCACACAATGGTGGTTCCGTGCAGGTGAGAAGCGCAATATTGATATTTGATTCAACCTCGGCAGTTGTCGGCTGTTGATTTACCTATTGCTATTTCTCACCTTTCACCTACAGTCCTGTCGCCTTATGGGGTAGGAGGTAGGAGTGACCGGCAATGACTGTGCTCCTACCCCCCCAGGCTTACTTACCTGCATGCACTACCCGGGTCGGTGGGGCTGCATGCGAAACTGCTGTATCTATCTACCTTCTAGGTAAGGCTTGCGGCATGAAGAACGAGCTCCATGTCTTTGTTTACACTCCCCGTGTCCTGTACTTGAAACACGTGTTGCCAGGGTGACCACGCGCTCCAGGGAGGGATGATGAAAATGGCTCAGCGCCAGGCGCAGGCATATGCATTGGCGCAGGGTATGCAGGTGATGGATGCATCATCGCTGATGCCAGATGGTGTGGAATCGCAGACTAGTATACGACCCAAGCTGGAGACCTTCTAATATTTATGCCCACGATCGCATCGTCTTGCGAAATCTCAATATTGCATCACGTACGGTCGCGAAATGACCAAAGCCTGTAGCAAGTCTCATGCCTGGTCTATGGTCCTTGCTCAAGCCGTAACCATGCTGTGCTGTCTTGTCCCCCCCCCCTCCCCCTCCGGCAGCCGCCTGCTCTGTCGCCTCTGTCGCCTCCGATTGTCCCACACCTACCTCCTCCGGCTGCCAGCGCCGCCGGCGAGGCAATCGATTTGACGGACGACACCGCAGCACAGGCGGCAGCCTGCTCGGGCCCGTTGTCAGCCGCGGTTGCGGCCAATGCTCAGGCAGGTCATTCAGCTTCTCGTTGACCTTGAGAATCCCGGTATGACAACCGTTTGGAACGCCATGCCTTGGCAGTCGAACTTGTTCTCTTTTCGTGTCGTGGGGATCGTGATTTCAATCGTGTTGCCTGTGATTCACTCGATACTCGCTTGCATTTAAGCATGCAGCTCACGGTGGAACGCTTTTCCTGTCTAATCGGTTATCGATCGATCGTCACACCTCTGCAGCTGAGTATCGATCAACAGCAAAGCTGGCATGCGTACCAAGCGTTCACGCAAAGGCAGCAGCAGCAGCACAGTGCGCAGCAGTTGCTTCCGCCGCATCAGCAGCACCAGTACCAACACCAGCAGCCCGGGGTACGTAATGCTTGGCCGCACTCCATAGGATATGTACGCTTTTTCTGTCAGATGATCTCATTCTGACCACCATGTACGAATTGTGGCCTGTGTGTCGTTGAGACTTGTGTGCATCCGTAGACTATTCTCATTGTTGTCGGCATTCGCCATTCAACGGTCAATTGCTTGCCGCCTCTGCAGTATGGTTACTGGGTGGTTTCACTGAAGCTAGTGCGTGTACTGTTGACCCCCCCCGCTGCCCCTCAGACCGGAGTGCATTCTCATTTCCAGAGCGGAGCAGCCATGGGAGGTGCTGCCCAGGGCATTCTCGGCTGGTCGCACCAGCAGCAAGAGTTGCCCTACCCACAGAACGCTGGCCACAGAAAGGTGTGGTGTGGATACAGACGTGCCTCTCTGGTATGTGTGCTGTCGAGCGCGATACGAAGGTGATCTACCTCGCTACTGTCTGCTTTTTATTTTGTCCCTCGTCTGGTTTCACTTTCCGTACCTATCATGGCATATATACGTTTGACATCTCTAATTTGTACATGCCATGCCGATACGAATGGCAGCTGCCGGACTACGGTAATGGGCAAGCAGGAATGAAAAGACCACGGTATGAGGAGCGTTCACAATACGAGGCGGATGAGAATCAGGCGGGGACAGTCACTTTTTCGCTCATCTCCACTTCGTTCTTCACTGCCAAGGTATGTCGTGATGCGGGGGCACCCATGCATTGAATTTTCGCCCGCGATCTCTTCAGAATCATGTTATGAGGTACACACGACTTTGACAGTTCCTATCGTCGTGGTGAATGTAAGGGCATTGGCACGAATATTGCCCCAAACGTTGTTTTCGTGAATATCTCCTTTTTGGATTCATGTTTCTCCTTCTTTTCTGTTTGCCTTGCAGATTCGAAAACCAACACCAGCAGCCGTGCACACGTACTTCAAGCTGACGCCGGGGGCGACCTACGACGAGAAGGTCTGATGACAATGAATCGTTTAGACCTTGATCTATGTATAGCACGACGAACGTGCTGCCAATTCTTTTCGACATGTGATTCGAATCGTCACGCTCCTCTCTCCGCTTTCTTTCTCTCCATGGATTTGCAACGATGGTGACGGTTTGAGACACTTTCTAAGGGTTGTGTTTTTTGGTTTTGCGCCAGTTCGTTTGGTTTGAGATCACGCAGATCACTCCGAGTAGAGTAGCGCACGAACAACTCATCAGTTACAAGTGTCTGGTGTTTGGTTGCATCCAGGAGAGGCGGTGGAAGTTTCCCCTTGGAGCACACGAGAACCTTGCTGGGGCTCTCAGCAGGCAGGGCGTACAGGTTGGTCTCCCGAGCTGATTCGTTCTATTGTTATGCGTAGGTAGATTCTTGCGGTTATCTAATTTTTACCGGTGCCGATAGTGGTCCCAGGGTGTTTGCGCAGCGTTCTCAGGCGGCACTCTTGGTTGTTCGTTCCATGCAACTGCAAAGGCGTTAAGCGGTCACGAAGTACACAATATCGCCCCTACAGATGCTGCTGTAGATCGTACCTCAACCAGCACCATATACACAGCACGCCTCCCCCCCCCCCCCCAGTCCACCCCTCGAGTTTTCCGTACGCCATCGTCTCAATGTGTATGTCGAAGGGACTGCAACGCACTTGTTGTGGGCTACAGGTTCGCGAGGTAGAGTTATTGCAAGCTTTGATCGCGTTTCTCAGAGCACGTGGATCCTTCTCAAAACCTAAAACGGGCAAACGTGATAGTTATGTACTACGTAGTCTAGTTAATAGGCTTGCGTTTTACCGACAGGATGGTTAAAGCTTGTGCTGCCGATCGTCATTCCTTTGGTTTTGCATCAATCACACCAACCGCATCTTCAGGTGGTGCCGGTCCCACGGCAAGCGCTCGCGGCCGCTACGCTGGCGGTTGAGCCTGAACAGGGTGCAGATGGCGAAAAGGAACCCCCCGTAAAACTGTGCGAAAAAATGGTGAGAACACGCATTCGCCTCTCCTACGGCAGCTACTGACTTCACTTGTTGTACGCCTTGGGAAGTTCGAAAGCGTTCGATGAGTTTTTATAAGGGGTTACGCGGTGGTAGCTTGCTGCCCCTACCCCACACTTCGCCGTTTTCCCGCCAATTCTGGACTGGTATGGTCTGGTTTGGGATCAGTGCCGCGGTTTGCTTTCATGTGTTTCCCGTCCGCTTGATACCCTGTATTACCTTGTACTGGTACGAAATAGTGGGCTCTCCTTGTCGCCGGAGTCATCAGAACTCCACGACCCCTACCAACCTTCACTGCGATGATACGGATCTATCTACTGTCACCACCACAGGTGCCAGAGTGCATCCGAAAGCATCTTGCCCCTTTCCAAAAGCAAGGCGTCGAGTTCGTTCTCAAGAAGGAGGGACGCGCAATGATTGCTGATGAGATGGGTTTAGGCAAGACGATCCAGGTGACCCATCTTTGCGGTACAAGATACCTCGTTTTGTAGCAGCAAATTCACCCTTTGCTTGAGTCTAAAACCTGTCTGCGTTCGCGCATTTTGTCTCGAGCACCGTGGTGCTTCCCTCTTTCCCTTCCAGATCACTGTACCTCAGCAGCGAAACGCCATTTGAGTTGAAATACTTTTCCACTACCATGAACTCTTGTATGATCCTCCTCACAGGCAATCTGCTGCGCCGCTGCGTACGAGTCAGAATGGCCGCTGCTCATTGTGTCTCCCAGCTCCGCGCGCTATCACTGGCAACACGAACTGCTCAAGTGGCTGGACGAAGACAGCATCACGAAGAAGCAGATCGTGGTGGTGTCCAAAAGCAAGCAGGACCTGAACCGGGGCGTCACGAAGGTGGTGATCATTTCCTACGAACTGGTGAGAACGTTATCGCAATTAGCAATTGGCTCACATATATTGGTACACAAAACAACCACGCAAGCGGCAAATGCGCTAATTTAGTGAGCAGCGTTGCTTCGCGGTCCCAGATGGTCGTCTGTTTTGTTGTTGATTCGACCTCAGTGTGTGCAACACCAGCCCGTGGCCACGAAGCCCAAAGCCCTACCAGGGAGAATTGACAAAACACATGGGATTTATCAAGGAAAGGGTATGCAAGACCGACGCAGGAGTACCTTCAGTTACAGGATAATGTACATACTAAACGAAGAGCAATTCGGGTGTCCGTCTCGACTCCAAGATCAGCCCCCACCCCCCCCACTCTCCCCTTCATTCCCGCTCCCAACCGGCTCGTGATAGCAGACGACAGCATTTACTGTCGGCGGTGCTTGTTGCGCTGCCCCAGAGGCATGCTTTATTTCGGGAAAACCCGGCAGAGCCATCAAAGTACCATGGTATCAACGAACATCCACCCGTTCCGAAGCCGTTTGTGATGGGCAAAGAGAAAGCACCCCGATGAATGTTTTGATCTTTGGAAGACGCAGGCTTGTCTGCCTCGACTATGTCTTCGAACACTGTGCGTGACCGGGAGATAGCACGTTGAAGAGCATGTATATCCAAACCATGTGTGTCTACGCTATTCTGGCGCTGATGTTGCCGAAGACCACCCCCGCACCGCCACTCTCAATCATTCACTTGAATGGTCTTTTGCTGCTCCTCTTCGGTCGGTTCCCTCCCATGTACCGTTCGTCTCACACGGACAGCAGCATCCATTCAAGCACGAATCTACCAGTTTGTTGCCGCTCGTGTCTCTCTTCCTTAGACGGCGAATCGGCTACTACACTGGGCGATTCCTGGTCTGCATCCTAAATCCGTTGTGACGCCTGGCTCCGGGTACAAACGAATACAAATTCATCACTGCACTACCACCGTTGCCCCCAAACCTTCTCGGAAACGTGCGTACATTTGGACCTAAGGAAGAAAATTTCAGGGTTACTCACGGAGCGGTTTTTTCCACGGAGTGGAGCGGTTTTAAACCGCTCCGCACCGCTCCGTGAGGTTTTCCCTTGAGAAAAAAACGCTCCGCTCCGCTCCGTGACATGAACAAAAAAAACGCTCCGCTCCGTGAGAAATCTGCGCTCGGATAAACCGCTCCGCTCCGCTCCGTGGGGCTTCCCAACAATCCGTACAAGCGGTTTTTTCACGGAGCGGTTTGCCCTACTCCGTCACACAAGCACGGATAAAACCGCAATACAGCCGCGGTTTTACCACGGAGTAACGTTTTTTTCCTACGGAGTCACTATATTTTTTCATTTTTTTCTGTTCTACTTTCACAGCAGCCACACAGACACACACTCCGTGCACACGAACCACACACACTCCGTGCACATCAGTTCGTGTGCACGTCTGCCTATCTCTGATGGAGTCGACATCCGACCCTGGCGACCGCCCTTCTGGCGACCGCTCTCCTGGTGGTGCTGGTGCTGGTGCTGGTGCTAGTGCTGGTGCCGGAGGTTCTGCTGGCGCTGCTGCTGCATCAGCAACGGCGCAACCTGGGGAATCCCGCCTGAGCACGGTGCGTAGCGTCAAACGCACCGTCATCAACGTTGCAGAGACCGTACCACACGGGAATTTGTCGGGAGTTCGGACGTTTTTCCAGAAGCTCAACAAGCCGTTGGACAACGGGAAGAACACGCGATGCATCGTTGCCGATGAAGACGGCAAGGAATACGGCCGGGTGTACAAGCACGTGGCCAAGAACGGCACGCGTCCGCTGCTATACCATCTGCGGACGAAGCATGTTCCACAGTACGAGTTGGCGATGAAAGCGAGCAACAAATCTGCAAAAGCGAAGCAGGAGAGAGGCAAAGCATACGCTACGGCTGCTGCTGCTCGTGGCCAATGTGCCCCATCTTGTCCATGCTTGCTCGCGTGTACCTTTGCATTGACAGCACTAGTTGCCAATCAGAGAGGGACTTTTCGGGGCTGGGATTCTTGTACAACAACCTTCGGCAGGCGATGATGCCCGACCGTGTCGAGATGGTGATGATGTTCCTCCGGTCTAACCCCCATCTTATTCCCGAGATCATGAAGTTGGACAATGAGTTGGGGAAGCTGCTTGCAGCGCAGTCTGTTGGGAAGGCTAAAGCTACATCTGTCCAAGCCGCTTGTGCGGGAAAGCAGGTGGTTGTCGAGGTCGAATCTGACTGAGCGACATAGCGGCGTATGTTTTTGGATGAATACACAAGACGCCTGGTGTTACCCATGTGCTAGTACTGGCATGTTTCAACGAGAGGCATATGAGGAATTAGCTGCTGTTGTACGTGTTGCAGGAACGTATGAGTCGGGAGGTATTAGTACTGGTAAGTTTCAACGAGAGGCAAGTGAGGATTTGTCTGCTGTTGTACGTGTTGCAGGAACGTAGGAGTCGAGGAGGTATCGATGTGGGGAAGGGTTCCTTTCTGAATAATTGATTAGTTGACAGCTTTTTGTTCTGTTTGGGCTGTCCTAGCGACGAGGACGCACACGGTGTCACCGGCGGCCTCCAAACACAGCACACCGTGTGGAAAAGTCGGTTTTCGGTGTACGAAACCCGACGTTTTTGAAGAAAGTGCAGGTACTCCGTCGATTTTGTACGGATATCCGTGCGGTTTTGACGTTTATTTCTGACGGATAACCGTCCTCAAGGACACGGTTTTGCTCGGTTTATGCTACGGAGTATACAAAACCTACGGAGTATACAAAACCGCTCCGTGAAAATAACCGCACTACGGATTAACCGCTCCGCTCCGTGAGACTATTACCCTCGGATAAACCGCTCCGCACCGCTCCGTGATATTTTCAAATATAAAAAACCGCTCCGCACCGCTCCGTGGAACTAAAAAAAAAAAAAAAAACGCTCCGCGGAGCGGTTCTACTCCGTGAGTAACCCTGGAAAATTTGACCCATCTCTACCGTCATGCCTGAGACGTGTGGCCACAGATAAGGAGCGAGGAGGTATCACTCCCAAGAGTTAATCTCTATCATTGCACTTGCCACAATGACGCCCCCATCTCGCTACGGGAATGCCTACAGCCGGCCTTGTCGAAATATTGACAGCCACGAAGAGTGCATACAGATACCGCGCTTATAGATACCGTGTTTCTGTGGCCAGGGGTCTTCTGACCCAAGGTCGCTTTTATACGCAAGATTAGCTGTTGGGGGCTCGCGTTACGTGTTGATCTGAGTCAACAACTTCGCGGCTTGACGCGTTAATTTCTTGACACAACAACGCATGGTACATCCGTATTAAGGAAGAATAAATATACACACAGAAAGAGACTACCCATTCGCGATGTACCCACAGTCGAACGGGATGTATATACATGAACAGATAATGCAATGTTTGTCTCGCCAACTTCAATAAAAATTGTCACGCAACCACGTTCCGCCTGCCTACAACCAGGAATTGTCATGTTGACTTGAAGTCGGAATGTATGAGACGTTGGACATTCTTTTGGGTATGAGACAATGTCAGGCGCTGGCAAGTCTCTTGTATGTCATGTGGCCACACAAGCATTGTCAAGCCCGCCTGAAAAAGGAGGAGCCTCAACTTGGAAGGCCATATGTTAATGTTAATATTAATAGGTGAACCTTGCTGCTATGCAGGAAATTGTTTCTATTAATATCTTTAATATCCACCGCACCGCAATTCCTCCTTGGCCGTCTCGATCTTCATGTTAGGTCAACCGCATGAAAGAGGAACTGGACCTGTTCAACTTTGGAGTGGTTGTCTGCGACGAGTGCCACTACCTGAAGAACCAACGGGCCGCTCGTACAAGGGTATGTGTCTAACGGCATCCTGTGTGTTGATCAAACGCCGCTGTCAGATTTTCCTACCGTTCATGCGCTCTCAAATATTGCGACTCGATTGTTACAAGAAGCAAGCGTTAGGTATATACGTACTGAGTGGGATTCCTCTTGGGCACGCCGCATAGAGTGCATCAGCGCTACGAGGAAAGAGGATGGCGTTTCTGCTGGTGTTGAATGGTGTTGAATGGCCCAACCCGACCGGACCCGAACCTTGAAAATCGTGTTGCAGGCCATAGTCCCACTGGCGACCAAGGCGCGTCGAGCTATTCTTCTTTCGGGCACCCCAGCACTTTCGCGCCCGTCGGAGTTGTTCACTCAGCTGAATCTTCTCAGCGCTGCAACATGGGCATCGTTCCGCGACTTCGGCAAGAGGCAAGTTTAGTTCACAAATAAAACCAAATGGTGTACGACGACGCAACCGTATGGATGCAGGTTGAGCGTAGATCATCATTGGCTACCCTTGTACGTAAGTGCCTTGAGAGGCTCTTGTGTTTTTTTTTAGCGTCTCATTCGAATTATACGTGCGGCAAGGGTTTGATGTTCCTTCCGTTAAACACCTTGTTCTCCCGGGAAACGAAACCAAAAGCGGCCCGTTTGAGTAGATAGACCCACGACGGAAACTTGTTCCTTGTCTCAGGCATTTATCTCATGCCCGATCGATACGCATCGTTCGTACACAACACTCCGATGGCTAGGCAAAGCGCGCAAAGCACCTCTAGGCGTGGTCATCACGACCACTCGACCAGCATTAACTCAGCATCGTGCTTGCCGTGCACAACTTCTCTCTCTTTTCATCGGCCACTACTGTGTTATGTTACTATCTCCTTCGTAAGGTGAAGTGTGGACTACATTGCTCATTTTTATATTCTCAAGGAGTAGCGGTGACGACGCGTTCCAGGCTTCATACACACGTTGGCTCGAAACCAACAGCCCCGCGGGCTGGGTGTGATTAAAAACACAGCAGGAGGAAATGATGGTGGATCGATTTCTATTTGGTTGAAGTCTTCGCATTTTTTATCGTGAGACGATTGGCAGCCGCTAGCGGTTAATGTCACTGGTATCAAGGCATCCACCTAGGCCCAAAGCAACAACAGGGTGACAGTCCCACTTTGGCGGGGGATCGTTGGTTTGAAGAAAGGTTGCGATTCCTACGAAGGCAAAGCACCGTGATGAGCTCATCGAACAAGGCCTCCTGCTGCAAACGCTCTTCTCGGAACGTATTCTACGCATAGCAGGGTGCAAGTCTTTTGAAGCCTTCGCCCTTTGTGGGGAGCGTTTGTGGCCAGTGAACCGTATGCGGATAATTTTGCTGAGCAGCAGCCCGCAATGTTCGCATCATCTCCCAAACGAGTGTGAGGGCCATCATACGCACCACAAATGTGACGAGACGATTTCAGCGTTGCCTGTGTGTTTTCTGCGCAGGGCGTAAAGTTCATTCTCGCAAGAATGGCGTTAGATATTATATTTAGTGCCCCATGCCCAGAGGCTGGATGGACTCTGGCGAGATAAATTATCATTACCCACAAGATTTTTTGCGCTCCTGGCCTATGCAGGCCTGCGCCAAATGTTGTACACGAAAAACGTGTTCGTCGGCTATGTCGCAAATGTGGCTGTACTTAGTAGGATACTCAATCTTTAATGGTGTGCGAATTCCCTGGGATGATGGGATCCCCGGATAGGGTTGTTACCATGTGTCAATCAATGCATGAGCTTTCTATACACTGTGTTGTTTCAACCCATGTTATCTTGCCGCGGTAGGTATTGCGCAGGCAAGAAAGGCAAGGGGAAGAAGGGCAAGTTCGGAGCTGACTTCAGCGGTGCATCGCACATCGCCGAGCTGCACGCTCTTCTGAGAGCGACGGTCATGGTAGGCAACGTGATCCCCTCCCGTTAGTTTGTCTCGTGTTCTGTTCTTTGCTTGACTGCCGGTGGAACCCGACCTTGCGGTTACTGTACCGGCAGAGAAGTTGTGTACCATTACCAGCTGCACTAGTTGTAGCTGTTATTCAACAAATGACGAATGCGCACCTGCGTCAAGCGAACACGGTGACGTATGGCAAACACTCGGACTGACCTGACACGTCCCGTGGAATACGATGATGATGATGGCTGCGAATGACAGGTCCGACGGCTGAAGAAGAACATCCTTAAGCACCTCCCACCGAAACAGCGCTCGTTGGTGGAGGTGCATGTTCAAGACGAAGGAGCTCGGCGGGAACTTCAACAAGGTGATCCCGTTTGTTTGCTTGTAGTGGTCATGTCTCTCACTTTCGCGGGTGCAGAACAGGCTAAAGACTACGGCGCCAGTCGATTCAGGTTGGCTTATCACTAGTTTTCAGGTTGGCTTATTAATATTTGCTCTGGAAGCAAAAGCTAATACAATTGTAGGGTGGAATTGTTCGGAGGCTCAAAACCACAGTACCCGAAGAAAGAAGAGTGTTGCAAACATCCCGGATTATTATCTTAGTTTGTGTGTCAGGACGTGGCGCCAACATGACAATCTTGTGCGCAACCGCGCGACTTTCCGATTGCCGCTACCCGCAGATCTGAGCGTGCTGGCGACAAGGCATCACGCACGCCTTGGACGCCTGGCAAAGACGCACGCAGACAAGCCGAGCGAGATCGTTGAGAGTGGAAGTAGTGCTTCCTCACAGGCGAGCGTACCTCCGTTTGTCACCAGGATTGCCTGGTGTCATTGTGATCCACTTGTTTGCGGTCACGAAGTGTTGAATCTCAAGACCACCTGAGCGAAATGCACTACCCACGGGCGGTCATGTTGAAGTTCAAGTGTGGACTAATCCACCCTAAGTATTTGGAATTTGAATTCCATGATGCCGTTGGCTGGTTACTGCGCGCATCTGAACGATCTATTCTATCTCGCGTTTCTCGACGTCCGCGGTTTCTGCATCTCTTTGACGCACACGTTGATGTCCCTCTAATGATGCTGCGCTAACTCATGAATACCTGCCGATGGAGATTTTGCTAGTAGAAATATCCCTTGATGGCAAGCATATCATACCATGCACTTGCTCGATGCTTGTCTCGTTTTTGAACCCTTGTTGGATGCCAAAGTTGAAGTATGCTGCTGCCGTTAGTCTGGATATTGCTGAATGATACCACATGTCGGTTGAGATGAAGCACCGTTACCGCAGTCATGATGAATTGGGACCAGCATGCAATCGTTATTTCAATCATCTCGCGCGTGAATTTTCATCGCACCCCCGTGCCAACTCTCCGTCCGATCTGCACACACTCTCGCACCCGTTTCGCACACCTGTTATAGACGGAATAGAGGGTTCGTACAAGAAGCCACAATAATATCCCATACATTTCAAGGACATGTCGGCAAGTTTCCAACCCAGTGAAAATTCAAACCTTTCCAAGGTGTGTTCGAACGTGTTGCGCGCGCAACACACGCACTCCTGCTGTAGTCTGCGGGAAGTCCGTTGTACCCTTCAGGTCTCTTGTTGGCCATTGTGGCGATTACAGCAGTACACGCTTAAGTTGGTGTTCTGTTTGTAGTTAGACTTTACCACGCCGCCAGGAACCAGGTCGTCACTTGGCACTCTTTGTATGTTACTTTTCGCTCATGGTTGCTGTCTACGACCAAATGGCTTTCGCTGCCAGGACCAGCGTCCAGCTCCCGGAAATTTGTCTCGACGTCATGACACTGGTTTCTCCTCCCGCCTCTTCCCCTTGGTTTTACAGTCGAAGGATGCATCTCCCAGTGCTGCAGCAGTGGTGGCACGACCAAAAACATCAAATCCATCGCGAACGGATGCGCCGAAGGGAAAAGGAAATGGTCGCCAGCCCAAGGTATGTATTGATGAATGGTCTGGTGTCGTCCTTGCTTGATACGTTCATGTGACAACAGTCTACTTTGCTTCAGATAATCCGAGCACTGCTGTAGTGAATAATACATGCCATGGGCCTCTTGGCGGATTTGCGGACACAGATTCATGTACGCAGAATCGTATTCTTTCCACTGTGCGCTATCCTATGTACAACTCTCACCATCAAGTTGCAAAAATAATTGCTCTCGGACGCACATGCATGTACCCTTGCCTTTCGTTGGCACTGGGTTCATATCCTTCGTGTCTTCCTTTGATTTTGATCAGGTTGGTCCTGGAGCAGGGAGAGTAACCAAGCTGTCTGCTCTACCTCCCGCACCAGTCTCGAAGGAAGTGACTGTTCCTTCCTCGACACAGGACTCCACCAACGGTGACGTGGCTGAGCCGCCCACTAGAGATGTAGCAGACATGACCAAAGCGGAGCTGGCGCAGGAACGGCGGTCGCTACTGATGAAACTGTTTGCCAATACAGGAACGGCCAAAATCCCTGCTGTCATCAGGTGACGATGGAACACCCCAGGTGGAACGTTTCGGACAGGAGGGTGCCGTCTTTCATTTCTTGAAGCCGTGACAAACTACTCCTGTTCCAAACAGTGCACGGGACAGGCAGAAACCAGCAAAAGGTTTCAACAAGTAAATTAGCCAAAACAGAATTGCGGAGAATGTTTGTTCGATGTTGAAAATTCACGTGCACGGTGTCGGTCTTGCTGCTGCTCCGGCAGACATGTGTCCGATGTTCTTGCTGACGAGATGACTGGGGGGAAGATCCTCGTTTTCGCGCACCACAGGAATGTCCTGGACGCCCTCGAACAATCGGTGGTCAGGACCGGCCGTGTGGAATACATTCGCATCGATGGCCGCACCAAGGTGAGTGGGTGCGGTTGCGTTATGATTTTGCTTGACAGCGCTCTACCTGCCTCTTGTGGTAGAACCTCAGAGGTAGTGGCGTCGCGTTTCTAGAAATTCCGAGCAATGGTTGGCAGCCACAGCAGTGTTGTGGAAGCATACGAGACAACTGAACTAAGGAGTTAAGGAATGGCAGAAAATAGTTTTGATGTTGACTAATTTTGAAGGCAAACGCAGCACCACCAGAAAATGCACAAGAGACACACAAGACCAGTTGGAAGGCATCGCACAGGGCGGCAGTAGAGACTGCGTGAACATACATTTCACGCATCTACCTCCACACGACTCGTTTGAAATATAATAAAAAATCACATCAGGCTAGTTTAGATTCCGAGTCCAAAGAGCCCAAACGGCAGGCGGTCAGACAGGGGCTGCTTTGCACTAGGTTTTATGCATTCTATTATACTGATATCACTAGAGAACACCCTATTGCAGCGGTGTGTGCGTTCGCGCGCTCAAACCTGCTTGTACAATCTCCGCAAGTATCCGCAAATAAGACCGACACGCTGTATCTTGTACTGCTTGTGCTCGCCGCCACTGACCCCATTCTCCTGAACTGCGGGTTGACTTCAGTAACTGATGCCACTAGCGACTGCTGATTACCCTCCGTTCAGGGGCTTACGGTCCGTGGCGATGAGCACGGCTGTGACAAATGTTGAGTTCCGGCGCAGATTACGGCCTGTTTCCTGAGGCTGCTGCGACCTACGATGTTTCAGCACGCAGTAGCAAACCTGAACATGCCAGCACACAGGACGCCCGTTCATGGTGTCATCTACTGATATTAGTAGAGTGCAAGAACCTAAACGGCGGGAAGGTTGCTTTCCTTGTTATTGCGTTTAAGCATTAAAATAGAGACAGCGTCAAAGTCTTCAATCCCTGACTTGCACGTGTTTGGCGATCGTCGTGGTGCACCGTATTGCACAATCGCAGCCGAAGGACAGGCAAGATCTCGTTGACACTTTCCAGAGCAATCCCAGCGTGCGGGTGGCTCTTCTGGGGCTCACAGCTGCTGGGATAGGCATCACGCTCACGGCCGCCAGCAGGTGAGTTGATAAGTTTACATGTTGACTAGTCTACCCGGTGTATACTTGCCAGCATCAGAGGGTGAGCACAGGTGGAACATTCAACGTTTTGTTTTCATTTGCACGAACTTCGCCAAGGTACAGTGTAGGTGTGCTGCAGTTTGACGGCACGTCTTGGTGTAATGTACCGGTGTCGACCGCGAGTGATGCCCATCATGGACACCACCCGCAATCACACATTATTGCTACAAGTATCGGAAGTACCCTTTTCCCCGAAACTGACAGCAACAGCTCCGATGCATCGATTATACACAGGCATTTTATTTTCCAACCAAGAACCGCCATCATAACGGTTTACCCTCTACACGTGCGCAACAAACACCGTGCGCATCGCATCATGGCACCAATGAAAAGTCACTCGGTTTGTTTCAAGTCTCCTCCCAACGTCATTCATTCACAACCCGTGTTCGAGGTTGTTGAGCTCCTTTGTATTTCAGTCGACTTTCATCGACCCAAATACGTTTTCTATGCCGTTGTTGGTTCCGTGGTCGTAAAGAGTTGTGTTCGCGGAGTTGTACTGGACTCCAGCACAATTACTGCAGGCGGAAGATCGGTGTCACCGGATCGGGCAGGCAACGGTGGTCAAGGTGCAGTACCTAGTGGCCAAAGGAAGCTTGGACGATGCTCTGTGGCCACTCATCCAAGAAAAGGTATGACAGAATTTCTCATATCATGTCCGATTTTCCGAAGTTGGAAGCGCTGCGCTCTTGGTTTTGCCGTAGAGCATGACACGTTCTCCAACGCACGTACATCGCTTCGCAGAAGCTCACCTCCTGTCCATCTCGATGAAGTTCGGTTTGTATCTCGTTTCAAATGTTGCTCTGCGCCATCGCCGTATTTTTGGTCTCATTCGTGTCATGCCTGTGTTTTCGTTCGTTCGTGTTTCCGTACGGAGCAGATCAAGCTGCTCGGAGAGATGGTGGAGGGGGAGGGTGAGGCCAATCATATGGAGGTGGGTTGTCGATGGTTTGGAGAGTACCAATCTAGGTCGGGGTGTAGTCCGGTTTCCAATGCTCGAGTGCTCTACAACCAGGAGGTTGTGAAAGCCGACCGAGACGCTGGGGGGACATCCCTCGACGAAATATTTCCAGAATCACCCTTTTCGACTATGGGACCTTCTTGGTTTTGGAGTAATGGACCTTTGATAACCAGGAGGGCTGATCTCTCCGATGATAGCTGAAACTCATCACAGGTTAACGTTCAACTTACTCATTAGTCGAGCAGTCCCCGTTGTACGCAATCACCCCCTTCTCTCTGTCCCACATGCTTTTTCACACTCGCCGTTGCGCGAGTGATGCACTCCTCTGACGTCCGCTGTTCGACCTACTCCATTTTCCCTCTGATCCGGGGATGATGCTTTCGCCTGGCTCACGTTGTGATCAGGTCGAATCGTCTGCTCCGAGGCAGAAGAATACCGCGCCCACCGCCTTCGCTGGATCGTCTGTGACAATCAAAGGAGATACGCCGGATGTAGGCACCAACGCTGCCCCTCCTTGTGAAACGAAAGCGGGCGACCCTGCTGCCGAGGCGGCACGGGCTGCTTTCCAAGGTCTCCAAGCCTCGGTTGCCGAAAATGCCCAGGTTGGTGCTAGGTTTGTGGTTCGTAAACTTGAGAACCCTAAAAGCTACAAGGCATCTCTGCCGACCTACCAGGGATGGCCCTCCAGCCATCAAACCATATCCATGACATAGGTACCGAAAGGGCCCGCAATTATGAAACGCCAAGTTCGGGTCGAGGCTCACTGTTATTGTTTCACGAAAGTAGTGGTAGGAATATAGTCGAGAAGCGCAGCTCTTTAATTTGACTTTCTTGATTTCGGGCCTGTTCTGTATTGCGCAGATGCCCCCCATATGGGCAAACATGGGGGGTATCATCTCCGGTCACAGCCCCCGGCGTGCCCGAGTGTAGAACGCCCACATAGCTCTGCCCGAGAGCCTGCAGGTTGCTCCCAACTGCCTTCAATTTGGTCAACCTCATGTGGGTCGATCTGTTCCCCATTGGTGGGTCGATATGGGTACGCTGGAAAATTTCACGTGATGCTGTTCACAACGGTCTTTTCGATGCTTCAAAGCAGCATCTGCAGCGTGTTTTTTCTGCTTCGCAGTAAATAAAGTATGTATGTACGTACCCGATCGCCATACCCGATCGCCACGCCTCAGGAGCTTGCGGTGGAAGACATGCGTCACGAGCTCGATGATGAAGGTCGTCGTGAGTTCTTCGAAGAACAGGGGGAAGACGGAGAGAGTGGCTCTAGACGCGGAGGCGGCAGGTACTTGCTGTCAATAGTGCTTGCACGCGATAGCGGCGCGTAGACACCACAGAGACTCCGAATATCTTTTCGAGTCATTCTCTTACAGCAGTAGTGACAAAGCTTGGATGGACGTGTGTGTGCTGGCTGGCGATATAGGTTGGACGCATTGGCAAAAATATCGGGAGCTGCTGCTTTTGTCCCTAGCATGCGTATCCCCCTCGTTGTACGGTGCGTATACCGCAGTCGGTTGTAGCAGCTGTTTGAGTCGTTGCTGCCCTTCCGCCGAGCCGGTACTGTGTGTGCAGGTCTGCAGTTGCGCACGACGTCTGGTGTGTTCTAGCCCTTGTTGGTTTGCCCTGTTCCCCTCATTTGCCTACTAACTCCCTCGATCGTGATTGCGTGCATGTAGTGATGGTGATAGCGACGGCTACAGTGATGGAGGGGGCGGACAAGATGAAGGAGACACCCTGTACGAGATCGTCGATTCAGACGAGGAACAGAGTGGCGACGTTGATGTTGGTGCGGCCCACGACCATGCGCAGGTGATTTGAGACCAGACCAGACTAGCACCATTAAATAGGGAGGTCTGTCGTAACGCTTGGGAGCCCACAACAATTGCCTTGTTTTGTTTACCGACGTGCAAAACTATGTCGTCGTTCCTTAGGAGAGTGCCTGGTCAGGACACAATTCAGCGGGGGGTTCTCGAAGCTGGGAGCAGGGAGGCAATGCATGTGCACCCCTGGGACTGGAAGCAGCGATCGCGACGGCAAAAGCATCTGCACAAGAAGCTGGTCCAATCACAGCGGACGGTAGCTTCGTTGCCTCTAAAGAAGCCGCTGGGGAAGTGATAGATTTGCTCTCTGGCGATGAAGGTGCCGTTGCTGGTGGCGATGCACGAGCCGGTGACGTTCTGGTGCTGGGAGAGGATGAGACAACAGCGGAAAGCACACCCCCACCGGCACCTCTCGAGACAGTGGAGCCGCCGGCAGCCAAGTCCGAGTTGAATGGTGGAGTTGCCGAGACGAGTTAGATAGCCCAGGTTCATCAGCCAACGAGTGTCAAGGCAGTCAGGAAGGCGACCAGGGAGACCATGCATCCGCCAGCCAAACTGTTCTCATAGGTTTGTATTGCACACACGGCCTTGGCCTAAGCGGACCCCGGCTATGGATTCGATTGCCCCACGAAGACAATGAATGTGCCGATTCCCCAGCCCTGTTTAGCCGGTTTGGTGTGTAGCGCCGCAAGCGCGTGTCAAACTGACCGGGTATTTTTCTGGAGTGATTCCAATACCTGGAGATTGGTCGCGAACATGCCCAAAAAATTGTGCCTCCTTAGAAAAAGCTGTACAGTAGCCGCCACCGCGTACGTATCCGGGGTTTCGCTGAATTCCACACTAGTAATAACCACACTGTTTCGAAAGCAAGCAGTACTAATTCAAATGGAAGTCATGACAAATGTATCACCAACCGTAACCAGCTTCTAAATAGTTTCAACATAAGCCCATGGTGTGATTCTGAAGCCCCCCTTTACGGAAGGGTTTCAATCTCTGTTGGGAGAGTTCTGAAACCCAAATTCGATTTGAACCTACTTTTTGACCCCGAGCTAGGCCGCATTTCCGCTCTTGACTTGGTTTTAGAGTTGGCGATTTCCGGGTTCTTCTGTATTCAAGTGGCTCTCTTCGGCCGATGTTCTCGAGATTGCGGCGACAGACTTTCATTTTCCAATGAGATGGAAGAAGTTATAGCTGCCCCCGTCCTCCCCTCCTGCAAGCTTCGTGCAAAACGTTTTGGCAGTTTTTTCCCCAAGTCCGGTAGAGGTTGGGTCTCTGTCAACCTAACTAAACCCACGTTTTCTGTCCGTGTCATGTTTATTCGCATAGCCCACCCCTTGCCCGACCCGGTCTCAAATGCTGATCTCGAGCTACAGCCAGTGCAACTCTCGTGGCGCCTCAAGTATGGTTCGGTAGGGAATCGCAAACCATGTCCCCTCCCCGATTTTGAGCAGCTTTCACCTCCTATGGCCGACACGACTCGGCTTGACTGTTCCTTGTCTGTTTCGCCATGGGAACGGCCGGTCGAACAGAGAAAGAGGGTCCTGCGTGCTGCGCGCCACAATCTTAAATTTTTGGTTTGCGTGTTGCGTGTGTGATTTATTTCTTACTGAGTGATGCTCGAAATGTGCTGCAAAGCTCGTAAGGTAATCGTCTCTGTAGGTTGCGCGCGTTGCTCGCGTAGGGCAGTGTTGCTTGTGTATAGGTAACGATGCGCGTCTCTTGCTTTTTTGTCTGTCGTCATCCATCCATGAACAGCAACAGCAGTTCGAGACAGACTAACAACACAGACGGTCCGCTGCATGCTTGCTGCATATGGTACGTGATTGGGAACTTGAGCGAAAAGGTCGACGGCAGCACAATCTCTGTACTTGTGTACACATGTAGTATAACTATGAGAACGGTCGACGCCTTGTAGCGGTGCACATCTAACACGGCCGGCCGGCGTTTTGAGGTCGTTCGTCCGTGGTGCTTACATTGTAGTCTCTTAAAGAAGTCATGTATGTGCATTGTTTTTGTTGTCACTACACAATACCACACAAATGAAAGCAAACCCGTCCGTAGATTCCGTAGTTGTATTTGTTGCTGTCTGAGTACGAGACTATCCGTGCACCCGGCTGCTGCATGTGACATGATGGGCGCTGCGAGGTAATGGGCGTGGCCATAATGTTTGCTGCAGTGCCCATGTGAGAGCTTCCGGAGGTTCAGAGCGGCGATGGTGCTTTTTCTATGCTCTCCTCCGACTCCTCACTGAAGCCTATCGGGTCTGGCTCTATTTTGGTTGTATTCACCATTATTTTTATTTTATTCATGCATTGTTTTTTGGGGTCCGCAACCAATTAATTTTAGTTTTTGTTGGGGGATGTTTTTCTTGCCATGTATGAATTGAATCGGGTATGGCTGTGGCTCGAGGGATAGCGGGATGGGGTAGACGACAGCACACTCATCATGTGCGTAGGAAGCTATCGAGGGGTTAACGCCTTCCTCGCTCTCGGTAGCGATGCGCATCTCCCACGGCAAGCAAAGTAGTACGTCAATCGATCATGATGATCATGATGTTCTTGTGACTACAACTGCAAGTCGCCCGGGGCTATTTCGTTCTTGCCGAAAGAGCGGGACTAAACTACCGGTCCGCGTTCTGGTTGTCTCCTTCATTGGGTGTCATCGTGCGTGCTAACCAGATCATCAGCGAGCACGACTAGAGAGATTGTTCCTGCGAGAAGTGCCCTCTTCTTTCTCTCCGCTGAGGGCCGGTCGAAGATTGTCCGGGTGCGCGTCAGGTCGTCTCAACCTTCTTCGCGCGAAATTCAAGTCATGGTCTCCAACAAGAATTGTCCATCTACTAGCAGCGGTGCAGGCACTACTAGGTTCGTCCATGGATAGTTTATTGGTTGTATTATTGCTGTTCTCTGCATTCCCAAGCTCGGTAGATCGTGGGTCTCTCATGCAAGAGATAGAACGCCCCCAATCAGCAGCGAAAGGCACGCGACGCAACAAATGACAACAACACGCAAGTAATGGACGAACACACGAGACTAATTAAGGCGGGTCGCCCGCAAATAGAAGGCCTACGCGGTGGATCGATGACGACCACACCGCAAACAGCGTGCATTGAAAAGATTTGCCACATGCAGGGAACAAGGATAAAGAAACAACAAACCGAAGCAACGCTGAAAACCGTTACAAGGAGCTTCCAGGGTTGAGTTGAAAACCTCGAAACACAAACATACACAGCGCAACGACCGGCATGATCGTCAAACAAGCCGACGTCACACAATTCAAAACGTACGCAGCTCGCGAAAAAGGGCCACCAACACGATTCGAAAAAGGTGTACTCCACGCAATGCAATCAATCAAATACAACCATCGGACGAGGCAAGAGATCCCCACCGCGGTCGAAAGTGTTTTACCTACTACATGCAATAGTCAGACATGACATAACCAAATCAATGCGCGACATGCTGAGAGAGAACACAGGAAGCAGTCAGCGAAGAAATGCTATCAATACTCGACAAGATAGCCTTCACTCGACTAAAACAAATAAAGTGCAAATGCTAAAGAAGCCAGCGAAAAAATACCATCAATACGCAAACAAGACGACCCTCGCTCGACTCAAACGAATCACTTACAAGGCAATGCCATATTGTTGCTTCAACTGAGCCCCAACCTTTTTCGGCAGACCTAAGCTGCCGCAGCTCGGATTTGACAAGCTGCGGCGCGGCATCCCAGATCTTTGACAGCTCTTCCCAGGTGTTTTCTTGCTTGTCGAAACCAACCCACTCCACTTCTACATCAAACCCAGGGCCGGCTTCCGCCATGTCCACGATCGCCGCCATCGCGAACTCCCCCTGCGTGAAAGCATGCTGAAAAACGTCGTTCAACTCGGCCGTGATCTCGAGAGCGGCATCGGCGAAGAACCGCAAGCGCGCGACATGGACATCCCGAACTTCACCCGACACAATGCTCTGGACTCCATACACATGCGGTCTTTCGGCGGCGACAATCCTCCACGGCCCCGTCCAAGTCATGACAAGCTTCGGCGTCGACCCACGCCAGCGAACGCGCGCCACCAACCGGTTAGACCAGGGAGAGTTGGCGACGGGAATTTGTCGATCGACACCGAGTGCAGTATCAAGGGCAGGCATCATGTGGTTTTTGAAGTGGGAAGCGGTGTCACTCATCCAGACCCCCGGAACACCCAAAATCTTACACCACGTCAGGAGATGCTGCGCAGGCAGGCGGGCGGTGCATGCCCCCGTGGGCTCCAGCCAAACCCAGTTAGACATGTCGTCCATCATGACCAAAATGTACTTTAACCCGTCCTCCTCGTCCAAGCCGTCTTCCCCCAGCGGGCTACTCGCTCCTACGTAGAGGTAGCCAAAATGAACAACTTCGCCAGGACGCGTGCCGTGGACGGTCTCCCCAAGCGGGCGAGGCACCTTTTTCCCCGCCTTGGAGTCCATACAATGCAGGCACTGCTTGACGAAGTCGGTGACATGCTTCGTCCATCCGAAACCAGCAACAGTACTCGGACGACCGCTGCAAGGTGGCGACGGCGCCACGATGCCCAGCTTCTTTCATGTGTTCACAGACCATCAGTCGCACCTGTAAAGCACCCGCTTGATCTGGAATCCAAAGCACGTCACGTCCATTCAGGTTCACGCGAAAAGCCCTTACCATCCAAGGCCGCCGGCCCCACCGCCGTCGAAAACGACTTGGCAGGCCCGGCAAGCGCGCCGAGCGTACTCCGCGCCGCTTGTTGTGCATCACGTACGACTTGCTTCGACGGCATGGCGGCATCAGGTTCGCTGCGGGCGTAAACCGCGGCAGCACGAACACTCACCGACGGCACAGAGACCCACCTCGACAGAAGGCCCCCCAGCAATTACGCTCGCCCGAAATGTGCCTGATGGTGTAATCGTACTGGCCTAAGACAGCTTTCCACTGGTCGAGACGCTGAGCCGTGGTTTTCGCTACGGCGGACACGCAAGCCTCCGGGTCGAAAATTTACGCCAGATAACGGTGATCGGTGAAGATATGCACGCCATCCCAAAGAAAATACCCCAACCGCTCGAACGTACTCACAATCGCGTACCCTTCCTTGTCCACCGTGGCCCACCGCTGTTGCGCGCCCTTGAATGTGCCGCTCAGAAACCCCATCGACTCATGAGCCATATTCTCTACTGGGACGTTGCGGTCCAGCTGCTCTTGGGGAACTTGGGTGAGAAAACTCCCCCACTGCTTATCGGACGCATCGGGGAACATCAAGACGGCACAACCTGGGCGCGGGTGAGACAAGGCAACGGCACGGGCAACGAGGTCTTGCGCGGCATCCCACGCTGCGTTGAGCGGAAGCATCCACGCATCCGCAATGATCGCGCAATTCTCCGCCACGCGCTTCGTCCGGTTCTTGGCACCGACCAAGTGCTGTCCAGAAACACGCGAAGCGGCCACACAACCTCCACCATCCGCCGTACAGATGTGCGCAGCCAGTTGACCGCCTGCAGGCACTGCATCAGCTCACGAGCCGTCTCAGGACGCCGCATTCTAGCCAGACCGCTGAGTCGTTCGGGATCATGCTCGACCTTGCCCTGGGAGCACACCTTCCCTCACCATGTGATGCTGGTCTAAAAGGACGTGCACTTGTGGGCGGCCAAGTAGAGGCCAGCCCCCTGCAGGCGTTCAAGAATCAGGTTGAGGGTGTCAAGCGAGTCGTCGTCATCCATGCCCCAATACACGACATCGTCTACCCAGACGAAGCAATTCAGCCCCTCTATTTAGGATGCCCGACAAGGCGGCCTGGAAATACGACGTAGCATTCAAAATACCGTGCGGCACCCGCTTGGGCGTGTAGAGGCTACCCGACGTAGCAATCGTGAAGATTTCCTGCGCCTCCGGAGACAACGGGCACTGCCAGTACCCTTGTAAC